CTCTGAACCGTCAGAACCTACCCTCTGAACCGTCAGAACCTACCCTCTGAACCGTCAGAACCTACCATCTGATTTGTCAGGATCTACCCTCTGACACGTCAGAACCTACCCTCTGACACGTCAGAAACAACCTTCTGAACCGTCAGAACCTACCATCCGGTCTCAGGTCCTTGCAGGTTCTCAACGAGTCGACTCGTTTCTTGGCTTTGGTTCCTCCCTTGGCTCCGTCTGCAGAAACAGAAGGTCAGCTGGTCCCACCACGTCCTCTGGGTTCAGAGCAGCCTGAGGAGCAGGTCTCACCTGGTTCTGGACGGGGGTTCTGCAGGCCCAGGTTGTCCCACTCCCGGCCCAGTAGGTGGTAGAAGTCGGTGGTTCTGGCGGCAGCCTCCCAGTCTCCGTCCTGCAGACTCTCAGAGATGGCCACCTCGCAGACCGTCTTCAGAGTGGTCTTCACCGCCAGTGGGGGCCGGCTCCAGCGGTACCCGGCCGCCTTCTTAGCGGCGGACAGCGCCAGGCTAAGCCGACCCGGAACCAGCAGGTCCTGCAGGGACCGGACCTGCGAGTCCAGAGACTTGGCTGCCAGCAGCAGGCGTCCAAGCTCCCGCAGCTTCTGGCTGACGTACTCGTAGCTCCGCTGGCTGCCGTCTTGGCTTCCCATCAGCTTGTTGCCGTAGCGACAGATCAGCCAATCGGACTTCACCTGGGTAGGGAAAAAGGGGAGGAGTCAGAGAGAAGGCGTGGCGTCTCAGAGAGGGAACCCTTGGGCGGTTGCTGACCTCGTGGGAGACGCTGTCCTGGTTCATGCGGTGCAGGATCTCGCTGCAGCTCTCTGACGCACCGCCGGAGATGGGCAGCAGGCGGGACGCCGCCGCCTGGACCCGGGCCCGCTTCTTAGGCTGGTTCTGGGCTGTGTTTTGGTTCTGATCCGGCTCGGGGTCAGTGACCATGGCCGCAGTGTCGTCTTGTTCAGAGCTCGGGTCCGGGGCCTCTCCAGAACTATCGCCACAGGCTGGGTCAGCTGACTGTCCTGAGGCAGGGACAGACGGGTCGGCGCCATCCTCTGCCGAGTCGATGGACAGCTTCTTCCTGCAGGTCACCTGATGCTTCCAGAGGTCAGCGCGCAGGAAGAAGCCCAGGCACAGGGGGCAGGGCAGGTAGTTCCTGGCGTCCACCTCCTCTGAGGGCTGACGCCATGGGACGATCTCTCCGCGGCCCTGACGGATCACCTGAGGGATGACAGAAGGCCTGTTACCAAGGGAACCAGCAGGCTGGCTCAGAGCCACAGATGCTAGAAACAGGCTGGACCAGAACCAGGACTGAGGTTCCTGTGGTCCACCTCCTGGACCCTCTGCAGATACAACCCTTCCTCCCCATTCAAAGATGTCTTTGAATTGATAAATGGTCTATAGTTCTATAGCGCCTTTTTAAGTCAGGAGACTTCAAAGCATTTTACATTCATCCGTTCACACACACACTCACACTGATGGTGGTGAGCTACATTGTAGCCACAGCTGCCCTGGGGCTCACTGACAGAAGCGAGGCTGCCGTAGACTGGTGCCACTGGACCCTCTGACCACCATCAGTAGGCAATGAAGGTGAAGTATCTTGCCCAAGGACACAACGACGCTGAAAGCCAGGGCTTGAACCGTCAACCCTTCGAGTTCAGGGCAAACTCCAACGCCACTGTTGCCATTAAACTGTCAGCAGAAGGAACAAAGTCCCTGCTGGAAGGAACCTCGACATTCAACTACAACCGCTCCAACAACCTGATTGGTCAAAGTTATAAAATGTCTCTTTTTAAGGTAAGGTGACCCCAGAACTCCACAGTCATTCACCAATTCACTGATGGTAGTGAGCTCCACTACGGCACTGAATCCACGACCCTTCAGTTACAGGGCGACTCCTGCATCCACTGTTGGCCCATAAGGTCCTCAAGATGTTCTGGTGGGACCAAGATGTTTGCTTCTTTCTCTGAGGATTCAGCTCTAATCTGACGCTAACGTTTCTATCTTCTAAAATATGACAGAATGGTCCTTTAAGACGAGTTGACCACCGTCTGCTAGCCGTTAGCCGTTAGCTCCTTCCTCTGAGGATTCAGCTCTAATCTGATGCTTACGTTTCTATCTTCTAAAATATGACGGAATGGTCCTTTAAGACGAGTTGACCACCCTCTGCTAGCCGTTAGCTCTGTCCTCTCATCTAAACAGGTCATGTCTCCTAATGAGTGAGAGAAGCCTGCATCCTTCTGACTCGTAACTCGCCACGTTTCTCAGACCTAAAGACAAACATCAGGGCTGCGTTCACTTCTCTGTTTTAGCTCTGATAAAACTGAACAGTTGCTAACTCGCTACGTTTCTCAGACCTAAAGACAAACATCGGGGCTGCGTTCACTTCTCTGATTCAGCTCTGATAAAACTGAACAGTTGCTAACTCGCTACGTTTCTCAGACCTAAAGACAAACATCGGGGCTGCGTTCACTTCTCTGATTCAGCTCTGATAAAACTGAACAGTTGCTAACTCGCTACGTTTCTCAGACCTAAAGACAA